GATCCCAGATTCCAAAGCAGTGGAAGAGAAGGAAGAGGATGCCGAAGGGATTGAAGTGGAAGAGGTTAGTGAAGTGAAGATGGATGAACCTGAACCTGGTGAAGTGCCTGGTGGGGTTCCAGGCACTGGTTCCGAAGATTCAACCAAGCCTGAGATGGAGGCAAAGGGTCCTGCTGGTGGCCAAAGTTTCAGCACCCGGGCATTGGAGGGTTTGATGCAACATCAGGCCAAGACCATGCTTCTTCAGCAGAAGAAGGCAGCAGCAGAACCAACTGAGGCTGAGGCTGAAGAAGATAAAGAAGCTTCTGACGTTGAGATCATTCTTTCAGAGGATGAAAGGGCCGACATGACAGCCAAAGGGACCTTTAAGGCGCATTGCTGAAAAAACTTGCCAAATGAACATTATTATCATCTATATCTCATATCTCATTTGTCAGGACCAGAAGCCACTGACTACAGAGCCTATGTACAAGTCTTCGCTTTTGGAGCGGTGCTGTGACATCATGAGGGAGCTCCGCGGGACTATTCCAGAGGAGGATATCCTTAAGGCCTCATCATGTTGATTTATCATCCCAAATGTTTTTTGGTCAGTCAACGTTAGTCATTGGCTTTTTATTAATATTCTTAACAAAACATTGTTTGATTCCTGCCGTGCCTGAAGGCCCAGAAGCGTATGCGCCAAGCAGCCAGGGAGCTCGATGATCAGGATGAAGATGACCGTGAAGACAACGATCGAGCCCTACGTGAAGAAGAGGAGTCTGATGAGGGGAAGACCCGGAAAGGAAGAAAGGGCAAAGGGAAAGGCAGAGGAAGGGCTGCAAAGGCAAAGGCGCAGCCAAAGCAGAAATCGAAAGCAAAGGCAAAGGCGAAAGGGAGGGCAAAGTCGTCAGGTAGCAAGGAGAATGATGTGGAAGCTGAGGAAGACCAAAAGGAAGTTGAAGCTGAGGAAGAGGAGATGGTGGATCCGCAAGAAAAGAAGGAGGTGGAGGGCAAGACGAGTGCAAGGGCAGCAAAGCGGACGCGCATCAATTTGGCATGGAGCCCAAGGAAGCGCAGCAAAGGTGCTGTGCCTAAGGAAGCTGCCAAGCCTGTTGCTCGAACCATTGATTTTGAGGAGGAAAGCAAGGCCGTTGAACTGAGCAAGAACGCTCCGAAGAAGAGGGTGCAGCCAGAAGCAAAGCCCAAGCTGGAACCCAGGAAAAGAAGGCCTGCGTCAGCATCAGGATCTTCAAAGCGTGAATGGAGCGTGAATGGGCGTGAATGGAGCGTGAACGACTATTTTTAGCCGTGAACGACCATTTTTAACCGTGAACGACATTTGACCCAAAAATCACCATTTTTCATACATTTTTTGTGATTTTTTGAGCTGTTGAATATGTTTTGATTTGTTTGGAGGTGAGAATTGTTCACGCCCAAGGACGCCCACTTGCAAAGACATGTTTCTGCACTCATTAGAAGATTGCTTAGGAACACAGACCTACCATGTTCTATCCATGTCCTTATTCGTGCAAGGGCTCAAATCACTGGTCGATGCAATCTATATAGTAGCCAGTACAGGAGTTCATGAAGGAGGGCGTTCAATCCGCTCTACAACGGGCGGCTGAACGCGCGAAACGTGTGGCAGAGCTTGATGGGGCTGGGGAACCACAAGTGGATGCAAATGTTCATGAAGAGGAGGAGGCAAACAGGTGGGGGCCTCTGAACACAATTCCTGATGTGTTTTTTTATCACTGGGCTATGTGACCTCTAGATCGCAATCCTTCTTCTATGTCATTCCAACTTTATGTACTCAGCTCATGTATAGTTAACTACACTTGTCAGGAAAAAGGCGGAGCGACAGTTCAAGCGTTTGCGCCCTATGAAAACAACTGAGATACGAAGAGGAGTGCTATTATGGGGAGTGCATGTGTTTTTGATGGGGGTGCTGCTTTTAATGCATGTGCGTCGTCCTTGAGTGAAACAGTCCAATTGTTCAATCGATTTATTCTATATGTAATTCCCGCTCGGGTGCATGGAGGAGTGAGCTTGGAGAGCACGATTCCTGCGTCAACACCAGAAGCCAAGCGTAATGCGGCTGCAGGGGTAGCAGCAGCAAAGGCAATTGCAGCAAAGGCAGCTGCAGCGAAGAGCACTGCCCAAACAACAACACCACCACCGCGAGAAGCACGAGCATCACCAGAGACATCTGCACCCAAGCTCAGCAGGACCATCCAGAGCAAGCGTGTACTTGAACCTGTTGAGGAGGGAGTGCCAACCAAGAACACAGCACCACATGAAACCAACAGGAAAACTGCTGCAAAAGCCAAGGCAAAGCATCGAGCAACTGCTCCAACAGCAAAATCAAAGGCAGCACCCAAGCCAAAGGTGAGGGCATCAGCACAGGACGCGGAGGTTGATCCAAAGC